CAATTGAGCCGTTACCGTGGCGATACCATCTTGCTATTTCTTTATTTTGGTAGCGAGACCACCGTGGTTGATAGAATATCAAAACACGATTTTGTAAAATAAGGTGTAGCCAGTGAAATTTACCTCAATCTTTCCGACTAAATTGTGCACTGCTAATCACTCAGATAATTTTTTAAGTCATTGCGAATCTATAAAGAATATTTCTAATGCATGATAAGTCGAACAAGGTATTACAACCGAGGTAGCGAACTTGCATCGTCAACGCATATGCTTCCTTGGAAGTGACATAAACTGAATATAAGTGAAACAGGTCTTGTTGAGTTGTTTTGGGCATGTATACTGAAATACACCAACCCTATTGTTTTGTGAAATTACGGAGCTCAAATAAATCCGAACTAAGAGAATTTCGCCAGCGGACCTGCAGTTATACGAGAATTTCTGCAGCGAAACTGCTGCAGAGAAGAAACTAGCGAACGAGTAGTTAACGATGTACCAGCCAATTTCAGAAATCGTTAATTTCATTTAGTCTAAAAGGTTTAGGTATTTCGTAAACAGAATAAAAACCATTGAATAGGTGAAATTTCAACATGTTTCAGGTATGAACGTAGTCTTAAAGAACTTATTCTAGAATATTTTTAATGATATTGGTAACATGAATCATTTGTCACAGTCTCTGATCGCTTAGTCCACTCAACTTGAATGGGCGTCGCTTAGTCAATTACAACCAATCAGCAGGTGCGTTTGACATCGGAATAAGATCTTCCCCAAAATAAACGACAAATACGGTCTGTAGTACCTAAATGCCGCAGACGAAGGTAACTTATATGCCTAATTTTAGCAACATAATTGATCAATTTAGTTTCAAGCCTAGTCTAGACCAGAATGTTCTAGGTTTCAATGCTTTATTTAATCAATCATATTTCAACGAAAGAAGCATAAAATATACCGCTTTCAGCAACAGCTTGCTATACTTGTGGGAGCTTTGCTACATGTCAATTATATTGATACTTGTTGAACAAAAACGATTTGAAGATGGTTGAAAATATTTGGAATTCATAGCCTAATGAACAGAGTTTGGAAAATTATTCAAATTGCATGTTATTCCTGTAATTTAGCTTCTCTTATTAGAACTGTATCATAAAAAAATAATAATTTTCATTGAGAGTTGAAAATATTGCACTTATCGTAAGTTTAGCGTCAATGGCTGCTGGTGCTGGCTATCGCTATGGACCAGACCTGTTACCAACGACACCTTGTGACACTGATATCGCAAGTTCTGGACACCATACAAAGTCCAAGCCATCTGGTCAAACTTCTGAAATTACTCCGGATGAAACTGATTCTACCCCAGGTCCAACTGGCTCCCCTATATGGCTTCATCTCTTAGTGTTCAAAATGAAGCTCCTTCTACTTCGACCGATATTCAAACCACTATTGTAACGGTTACTTTTTGTTACAGAGATCAATGCTCAGAAATACCAGTTACAACTGGTGTGACCGTTGTTACCGAAGAAGAAACAGTATACCTTCGTAGTAAGCCCATCAAAAGTGCATTTTTTGCTCCTGCAATGTTCATGCAAAACTTCATTGCTGAGTTTGGTCCAAGACAGCTTGGTGATGGTACATATGGTATCTTATACTTAATCCAGATAAAAGAGTGCCTCTTGTTGATATTGCGAGCGATACCGGAAAATATGTTGGCGCTATTCTTGCAGATCCAGATAGATATGAGGGAAAAGTGATCTCTGCAGCAGCCAATCTTTACTCAATGAATGACGTTGCGAAGACAATAAGCTACTTAACCGGGAAAATAGTGAAATATAGCCAAGAAGATGTTTATAGAGGCTTCTTACCACCTCAAGCAGCAGATGATCTTGTTGCAATGTTCAAACATATCAATGATAATTGATATTTTGGTCCACAGATAAAAGATTTGGTTGAATGGGGAGTCAAACAGGCTAGATGCAAGACTACGACCTTGAAGGAATACTTTACTGAGAACCCTCCTAAATTTGGCTAAGTACGTAATACATGAAATTGGATTTTCTAGTTTCATAGGGCATAAATGAATAATTCAGCCAAGTTTTACAATAGGTTATATATCAAAAATTTTTATACCTTCAAGTACTAGTTAGCAACCCCAATCAATCAAAGAAAACGTATACACAGTTTGTGAGGCAGTAGAATTAGGCAAAACGCAATAAAACATACGTAATAACCTGCGCACCAACTGTATGAGCGTCCGAGAGTAACCATTGCTATTTGATTTTTGCAACTAGCATACTCGAATGATCATTAGTAACATAAGATGGGCGAGTGAAACAATCTATGTCTATATATATTTGAATTTTTCTGTTACACTTTCTACGGTGGGCAATATCACTATATCCCTTTTTATAAAGGCTAAAATAAAATCCCAGAAGTTGTATTGGTGGACCACCGTTCGAGACACTAATATGATTGGAAATTGCTATTAGGGATATGTGATAGCAATTAGATGTTCGAGTGCATATAAATAGCAACATTGCAAAACGCAAATCCTACCTTATAAATAGGATGGCCGTACTGGCTACTATAGAATAAAAAGCTAATTGCACATTATACTAAATATTAGTGGATATTATCGACATGAATAGATTCTTTAGCAACAAAGTTACACATCAATTTGCCCTGAGCTTATCGAAGAGGTCGCATTCGACAGTACGTACCATAAGCACAAAACTGGGAAGCACCATTTACTTAGGTGGTGCTGCTGCATTAGTTTCAGCAATTGCTTGGACATCCATATATAAGATTGACAATGAAGTGGATAAAAAGAAAATTGAAGAAGGAAAATCAATCGCTGAGCATACCGGAAGCAGCCAAAAAGTAGATGAGGCCAAGAAGCAAGCAGTGGGAAGAGGAAAAGTCAGTACAAAGGTTCCACCACAAGAAAACGAACCAGAAACAAAATCTGAAATCGAATCCGACCAGGAAGCAGAGCAAACAAAGACGAGCTTGGCAGGAAGTAAAAATGAAAAACTGCAAAAAGGCTCTAATGATTCAGAAGTCAAGTGGGATAATAAAATTTTGAAGCCAATATCAAGTGGGGCATGTGGGGGACAATTCAAAGACGTTTTTTCTGCACTCTTATCTAGTTCAGACCTCAAGGGATCCGATACGATCAAGAAGCTTGAGGCATTGAGACGTTGCTTAAAGGAGCATTCCGAGATCTTGAAGGATTGAGAAAAGACTAGCTTTACACGATATAATTTTATCAATTATATAGTTAGATGAAATCATATAATGTAATACGATGTATTTTTAAATTCATGCTACTATAGTACAAATTTTTCGAACATAATCTTTTTGACAATCTCTTTAACTAATTGCACCGATATTCAGTTCATTTCAAAACTCAAAAGTTAAATACTACATTCTAAAATTGAATCAACAATTTGAAAATTTGAAAAAAACTTAAAAACATTATTCATCAATATAAAAATATTTACTTTCTTTGACCATATGATTTCGTTGCATAGTCACCATTGATAACGATAACATCCTTTGGTAAGTAGTCATGCTTTCCAGAGAAATAACTGTTCAAAATACTTTTAACTCCATCCGCGTATCTAGTTTGGGCATCTAAAGAAGTACCACTGACATGAGGAGTCATTGCATTACCAGCACCGTACTTGTTTTGCATTTGTCTCCAAGGGTGGTCTTTTGGTGCAGGTTGTGGATACCAAACATCACCACCATAACCACGCAACTTTCCACTTTTGACAGCAGCAGCAACGTCTTCTGCAACACAGATAGCACCACGTGCAGTGTTGACCAACCAAGCACCATCCTTCATCTTCGAAATCAATTCCTTGTTAAATAAGCCTTTGCTCTTTTCATGTAATGGACAGTTGATAGTGACCAAATCAGCTTGCCCGACCATATCTTCTAAGTTTTCAACTCTTTCGACAATGTTGTCCTTACCGTTGAATAATTTCGAAGCTTGGTTCAACTTGTCAATAGCTTCCTTTGGTAAATCTTGGTAATCGTAATACAATAACTTCTTAGGGTTGAAAGCGATTAATCTTTCCAACACTCTGTATCCAATTCTACCAGCCCCGACAGTAGCGATGACCTTGTCTTCTAAATCATATTCATCCTTAGCAGCACCGGCAATGTCCCATTCTCCTTTAATGACTTGCTCATGGGCAGGAACAAAATTTCTAACCAATACTAACATGGTCATAAGAACATGTTCAGCAACAGAAACTACATTAGATCCAGTGACTTCTGTAACTGCAATCTTTCTTTCGTTTGCTGCATCTAAGTCCACATGGTCGGAACCAACACCAGCAGTAATGCACATTTTCAATTTTGGAGCCTTACTGATTCTTTCCCTGGTGATGTAGGCAGGGAAGAAAGGAGTAGTGATAACAATTTCTGCATCCTGCAATTCTTTGTCAACCGTGGACGAAGGTTCGGGGTCCTTATCATCAGTACAAACGAGCTCGTATCCTTGTGATTCAATGAATTCACGGATACCTAACTCATTTTCTAAACATCCTAACAATTTTTGTTCTTGTTGAGCATGTTCACCTCCCTTGTAAAGAACGAGTAAAACCTTTCCTTTTGACATTTTTAATTTGCTTATTTATTTTTGTTTGTTAATTATGATCTAATAGATATAATTGTATTGATAAACAAGATAAATGTTAATTCTTCCAGGAGAATCATCTTCTTATTTATAGTTTTGGCGTACATCGGACCCGAGAGATTTATGGTTATCCCTACCACCTACTCCAGTGGTGTAGGTTGTCCATTAAACCAATGATATTTTCAGAGCAGTATATCTCTTCATCCGAGATATTTTTTTATGATAGGTAAAACCTTGACGTCACTAACGGAACACAATTTGTACATTCTCCACCAACCCCCCACCTTATTTGCGGCAATTGATTGCGAAATTAAATGTCTCGGAATAGCGAATTCAAGAACCAACCTAAATAGCTCAGGACATTTACTTAAATTTAAAGAAATAGAACAAGCTTAGAAAACTCTAAAACTAGGCGAGTATTTAGTATCACATATAATTTGAAAATCGGCATTTATAACAGATAATAGGTAATAATTTTTTTAATACTAGAACTAGGGTGTTAGAAATCTATAAATTTAGCTACTCGTCGTTTTTTTAATAATATATAGAAAAGATTGATTCAAACACGTATTGAATAACCACTATTGTAATTAAAAGGAACATTTTTTAAGTGACAGCTACATGGATTCTCACTCTATATTTGAATTATCAATAAGAGTCTCAAAGAATGTCATAATGGCCTTGATACCAATAGAGGCGATTTTGTCACCATCACCTGCATTAGGATCAAATGAGCAAACAGTAAGTGATAAAGGTCTAGCAGACAAACTTACAGTCTTCATACAAGCGAATAATTCATCTTCAAAGAGCCCTCCCGCAGAAGGGTAATCATTAACCTTACCACAACTTTCATCCAAGACATCTAGATCAAGATGAACCAAAGCTGGTGAGTAATTTTTCTCTTTCAATTTTTGTTTAAGCTCCAAATTGAAGTCAACTTTTTCTGTTGAACTACCTAATATAAAGTCCATTCCAGCATTTATAACATTTTGACGTTGAGCGCTGGATTGATCACGTAAACCAACATAAAGAAACCTGTCATATGATAATGGCTTATAGCCTGGTATAGTGGAAGTATGATACTTCCAGCTATCACCGTGTAGCATTGATAAACCCATGGCATCAAAATAACCGTTTTCGTTGTCATCTGGTGATTCGAAATCGTCATGAGCATCGAAGTAGACAAATCCAAAATCCCTTTCTCTCATAGCACAGGCAATAGCAATCGTTGACATACAGTTACCAGCTAAAACCAACGGGAATCGGTCTTCTGAAACGCACTTTGCAACTACCTTTGATATTCTTCTCAAAATTTCAAAACTCATACCAATTTCACCTTCAAACTCGTCAACTCTTTCAATTTCCACTAGTTCAATATCCAATTTTAAAGTCTTCAACTCATCTAAAATACCTAGCTTCTTGATTCGATTTGGTCCATTGCCAACTCTGTAATCACGATGACCAAGATGGTATGGAGAAAAAATAACACTCACCTTCTTATTGAATACCATTATATATGTTATAATTAGCTTAAGCTATCAGATAAATCCATTTTCGAAAGAAATATACATCTTTTTATAACTTTGATTATAGCATTGTCGCTGAATACACTCCGACAATTGCTTCTAGATGGGGAAATTTAGTAAGTATTATGCGGCAATTTTAAAGAATTTGAGGTTTCAAACTAGAAAGCATGCTTTTTTAGAGATGATTTCACAGTTTCTCTAAAATTTACTATCGCATTAAAATTTAATAGGTCAATCATATCAGCGGTGTTATAATCACCGCCATCATAATAAGTAATGGAGTTTTAATCACCGCGAAACCAGTTATCAAAATTATGTATTTCTTTGTAAGCGATAATATTGGTATTAACTAGAATGTGAATGTATTAATATTACATGGAACGTATATTTGATGCTTATCATTTACATACATATATATATATATATTTCCAGCATTATTGAAACGCTTCGACTGTAGTGGTTTATATTTGAATCTTGGTAGTCACTATGCCATATTATCCGGAAAGATTTGAAGGTACAACCGTTGAGAAACAAAAATGGACATCACCAAAGCCATTGAATGATCATGACATAGACATCGTAATTGAAGCATATGTCGTCTGTGGCATCTGTATTCATTGATCAGCTGGTCATTGGGGTAAAAGGATTTCCCAATGATTCCAGGACATGAAATTGTTGGAAAAATTGTTCAAATGGGTAAAGATTGGACGAGTTACAAACTTAGTCAATGAGCTGGTGTAGGAACTATTATCCTTTTTTGTTTTGATTGGACGAGATGTAACAACAACGAAGAAAGTTACTGCAAAAAGTACCTAGGTACTTATGATTACCTTTATGCAGACGGTTTTCTCACGCGTGGTGGTAATGCTTCCCACTAAGAGTTCACGTAAGATTTGCATCCGCAATTCCAAGATTCCATCTCATTTCGCAGCACTGAAGCTCGTCAAATACCTTGAGCTCAATATTCTATTGAATTATTTAGAGAATCCGGAATTACATCTGTCAATACGAATCTGTAAGTTACCGCTTGCTTGTTGATTTTTAATCTGTGGTTTCAATATTCGCTTCTTTAGTAATTGATAACATTTCTTGGAAATTCTATATCTTTTATTGTTGTTCAATTGCTCTTTGCTTCTTTCTAATATTTCTCTTCTTCCCAGAACGAAAGACTATTCGCTTGAAGAAATTGGATTAGTCTTTGGTGTGATATTGATTAAATCAATGAGCCACTTGAATATGACATCCAGAAAAAGAATTATGAGTGCAGATCAAATATAGATATGTAAATAGATATGCATAGGCCTAACGTTACTCGTATAACTACAGAATCGCCCTTATATTTTCCATATCGTATATGCTTGATAAAAGTGCGATATCAAAAAGCTCCATACTTAGTAATATCTTTCCTTAAATATAAAGCTAGCTACAACGCTCTTTTAATGAGACACAAAGGGTAGTACCAATGGAATCCATATCTCAAAGAAAAATAGCTAAAGCAAAACAAGCAAATATCGCCTGCTTAGAATGTAGAAGCGTAAAAAAAAAATGCGATCAACAATTTCCGAAGTGTTCATTATGTCTTAAGAAGAATAAAACTTGCCAGTATGTTGTAAAAAATCATAGGAAGCCAGCTAGTAAAAGTTATGTAAAGTCATTATTGGATAGGATTGCTGTTTTGGAGCAACTATGTAAACCCCAAGATCATAAGAACGAAGTCCAGGAAGAGAGGTTGGATCAGCATATGAATTTATCCAAATATCATTTTGGAGATTTTGTGCAAAAAGTTCCTCCTTATTCGTCATCATCAACGCAAACAGGAGTTTCTAAAGAATCATGCTCTGAGAGATCCACTAATTCAATTGCTCCCTACGATCCAAACGAACCATTGATGTCTCTTGGTACGTCATTGGTTAGCAAATGGGAATTAGGGTTTGCTCAAAACGGTACTCTTTTGTTTGAAGGTCCCACCAGCTCCAGATATATTTCTATTTTCGATGTTCACGTTCAGCCGACGCCTAAGTTACACTACACTCAGGATGTTCTTGATAATTTTCATAAAGAAGTGTTCAGTTGGTTTTTTGACTATATTAGTAGCACCTTTCCCTTGATTGATGAACAACTTTTTTGGGAATCATTGAATTATGACGATGTTAGTGAAGAATTAGGTCCCTACGCCTCCGTATCTTTGATCAATGCCATTATGGCGTTTTATTTTTTAAACCATGGGAATTTAAACGAATCTCGTCATTTTCAATCTCTTTCATTTAAGCAAGTGAATGAAGAGGTCTTCAACGATCCTAAAATAGTTGCTGTACAAACCCTTATTTTGTTGTCTATGATCAGTATGACTGAAGGCAAAGAGTTTCAAGCATCTGATGCAATCTCTAGAAGCGTTTCGTTATCATATCATCTTGGTTTACATGTTGGTAATTACAAACTTAAGAATGAAAGAAAGATTTCAGAAGAAGAAGCGAATATTAGAGACTCTGTGTTTTGGTGTTGTTTTATGGTTGATAAACTAAGAAGCTCAATATTAGGGATGAGCCATTACATGAATTGCAATGATATATCCGTAAAATTGCCCGCTGTTCATTCGTCGCAGCCAAATAAAGCATCAGTTGATTCCTTCAGGGATACAATAGTTTATAGTGACATGCAAACAAAGATGTTTGAAAAATGTTTTTCTGCTGAATTTATTTTATTCCTCAGTCTTAATAATAATGAGACCGGCTCTTTGAAGCAACGTCAAGTTGTTTCCGAAGCTACTGTTGCCTTGTCAAAATGGAAAAGAGACATGAGCACGAATGCAAGATATTCGAATAATAAATCTTTGAGCAACTTGTTCTTAGAAGTTTTGCAACATACCTACAAAATTCTTATTAATAAGTCGCTTGTCTCGTTTTCCGAAATAAATACAATTGTTGATGAGGAGGACCTTCCTATTAACATATGCACTGATTCAGCAGAACAAATAATCTATTTGTGCAGATCTCAGGATATCTCAAAGAGTCCATTCCTATACCATTTTTTGTATTCATTGTATTTGGCTGCAACAATATGTTTATATAAAATCTCGTCGCCGAATTTAGAAACAAAGGACTACTACGGAAGTTATCTAAATCAAGCAATTCTGATATTTGAGAGTTATAAAGCGGGAGCACCCGTATCTGATACTTACCTTTGTCATTTAGAGAAATATAGAAAAAAATGGTTCATTTCGGAACAATGAGTAAATTATTAGCTATTTAAATGAATTTATTAACCAATAATGATAAACTTAACCAATCAATGATAAAGAATAACATACTAGGTTTGGTTCAGATATAGGCAACAAAAAGGCAAGGAGGAAAACACCCATACACCTTCAACATCATTACACACGAAAATTGCCACGTCATCATTTTCGCTATAGAATTTCTTAGAGCTATTCAACGCAAATATTTATGACACAAAGCCGTTCTGTTTACGTATCATTATTCTCTTCCAACATTATATAATATTGTATATTCGACGTGGCTCTTCTTTTTTCAAAAAATTACATATTGGTTAACAAAGCTGCTATAGGATGTTAAAAGTTAATAGTCGTTTTTGGATATCGGGATTCACGTTAGCATACGTGTTATTGGCGGTTATTTTGCCATTATTGACACCAAACCAGGGTCAAGCATTAGCCGCTGCGGGTGAAGATAATGACACTGAAAGCTACGGTACTGTGATCGGTATCGATTTAGGTACCACATATTCGTGTGTGGGTGTTATGAAGAACGGGAAGGTTGAAATTTTGGCCAATGACCAAGGTAACAGAATTACACCATCTTACGTTGCATTCACACCAGAAGAAAGATTGATTGGTGACGCTGCTAAGAACCAGGCATCATCGAACGTCGAGAACACTGTATTTGACATCAAGAGATTGATTGGTTTGAAATACAATGACAAGACCGTACAAAAGGAAATCAAGCATTTGCCATATAAGATTGACAAGAAGGACGGCAAGCCAGTGGTCAAGGTCGAATTCAACAACGAGGCCAAGACCTTTTCTCCAGAAGAAATTTCAGGAATGATTTTGACCAAGATGAAGTCGATTGCTGAAGAATACATGGGCAAGAAGATCACCCATGCGGTTGTCACTGTGCCAGCCTACTTCAACGATGCTCAAAGACAAGCCACTAAGGATGCCGGTACCATCGCCGGTTTGAATGTGTTGAGAATTGTCAACGAACCAACCGCTGCTGCCATTGCCTATGGATTGGACAAGACTGATGGCGAAAAGCAAATCATTGTTTACGATTTAGGTGGTGGTACCTTCGATGTTTCATTATTGTCTATTGAAGGAGGTGTTTTCGAAGTTTTAGCCACCGCTGGTGACACACACTTGGGTGGTGAAGATTTCGACTTCAAGGTTGTTAGATACTTGTCAAAGGTTTTCAAGAAGAAGCACAACATTGATATTTCTGGTAACTCTAAGGCTATTTCTAAGTTGAAGAGAGAAACCGAAAAGGCTAAGAGAACTTTATCTTCGCAAATGAGCACTAGAATTGAAATCGACTCTTTTGTCGATGGTATCGATTTCTCCGAAACTCTTTCCAGAGCCAAGTTTGAAGAATTGAATATTGATGCATTTAAGAAGACCTTGAAACCAGTTGAACAAGTGTTGAAGGATGCTAATGTTAAGAAGACTGACGTTGACGATATTGTTCTCGTTGGTGGTTCTACCAGAATTCCAAAGGTTCAAGAATTATTAGAAAAATTCTTCGACGGTAAGAAAGCATCTAAGGGTATCAACCCAGATGAAGCGGTCGCCTACGGTGCTGCTGTTCAAGCTGGTGTTTTATCTGGTGAAGAAGGTGTTAACGACATTGTGTTATTGGATGTCAACCCATTGACCTTAGGTATTGAAACCACTGGTGGTGTTATGACTACCTTGATCAAGAGAAATACCGCTATCCCAACCAAGAAGTCCCAAATTTTCTCCACCGCCGCCGACAACCAACCAACCGTGTTGATTCAAGTTTTCGAAGGTGAAAGAGCATTGGCCAAGGACAACAACAAGTTAGGTAAGTTCGAATTGACTGGTATTCCACCAGCTCCAAGAGGTGTTCCTCAAATTGAAGTCACCTTTTCCTTAGATGCCAATGGTATCTTAAAGGTCGAAGCTATGGACAAGGGTACTGGTAAGTCCGAATCTATCACCATCACTAATGATAAGGGTAGATTATCTAAGGAAGATATTGACAGAATGGTTGAAGAAGCCGAAAAGTATGCCGAACAAGATTCAGAATTAAAGGCCAAGATTGAATCGCGTAACTCTTTAGAAAACTATGCCCACATGTTAAAGGGGCAAGTTAAAGATGAATCTGAAAACGGTTTAGGCTCCAAGTTAGACGATGATGACAAAGAAACCTTAGATGATGCCATTAAAGAAACTTTAGAATTTATAGAAGATAATTACGACTCTGCTACTTCGGAAGAGTTTGAAGAACAAAAGCAAAAATTAATCGATGTTGCAAGCCCAATTACTTCTAAATTATATGGAGGTGGCACCGGTGGTGCTGATGAAGCCCAATTCGGTGACGATGATTCTGATGATGAATTCGTACACGATGAATTGTAATCTCCTAGTCATGATCTACATTAGATTCATTTTCCTTAGGTTTATATTAAAGTATATTTATAAATAGG